AATGAGACTTACACAGGCATTTTGAAAATGCCTGCTTTGCAAATGCCTGTGGCATTCCAATAAGAAACACAGCTTATCCTGTGATATCAGCTGAGAAACACTGAAGAACTGATGCAAAAGATCCTATGGTACTTTTGAGCAGCAGACCTGTGATTCGCATTGACATAAATAAGACAAGCACTAATGACTTAACCTGCTTATGATTTTAATGTCTGTCTTAGTTTGGCTACAACAGGACTATTTCTCCTTTCAGGCGTTTTTCTTTCAGTTAAGTTTCTTCTAAGTAATTGCACTTTCTGAAAGTACAGCTACATGTTTTTCAGACACTGTCTGCGCTTCAGACCCGGTAACACTCCACATTCATAGTTGCTACTGAAGTATCACCAGGATTGGTATGCAGAAAGGCCCATTAGTAGTACTAGTATTAATACCTTATACTTTTTTTTTCATTATTGTTGTATTATTAAAGTAGTTTTAATTTCCAGCCCCTAAGTCTCTCTCCCTTTTCTCCTACCTTTCCCCTCCCGGGGGAGGGAGGGGTTAACAGAGAGCGTATGCCGCCCGCTGTGGGAGCAGGCCCAGCCTTGAACGGTGACAATGTATTATTCAATATACTTTCAACTTTTGCAACAAGAATGACACCTGCTGCATAAAACTAATTATAATTACTATGCTGTGTGCAATAAATGCACTCTTCTTATAAGCAGTCACTTAGAAATAAGTAGAGGGCGGAATCTTAGAAAAAAAATAATTCCCTGGATTTTTCCAACATCTCCTTTCAGACGTTTTTCTAAGAAACTAAGGAAATGCTAAATCTTTTTGCTTCTATATTATCAGCTCCAGTTGTGATTTCTATACACTGATAGCAAAATGTAACTACTGTACTTCCGTACAGATGGTCTTGACTCAGTGCTGATGTGAATCCTTGGAGCTTTGATTCTCACATGTGCGGTCACTTTTGCAGAAATATGCAAAGAATTGCTTTTGCAGAAACAAAACAAAGCAAGAAGCCTACATTACTGCAAAGAGTTTATAAGGCCAAACAAAAAAAAAAAGAACTTGAATCCAGCATTCTGAAGTCCTACAAGCAGACAGACAAGTATGTACATACATACATGTCTGTGATACACAAAAATATACATGTACATACATTCTGAAAATCAACAGATGCCAAGCAGTCCTTAGACTGTATAAACTGTAAAATCTGTCTCAAAACGAACATCTGGAACATTTAAATCTTAAATCTAGAGTTGATCTGCTAGCACTAGATTCCTATGGGATTATAACGAAGGACTGACTGCACAAACATCTGCCTTTGTCTGCTAATGGATTAATTTTTTTAGCTAATTTCAGGCAACGTGGCATCTCATCCAAGCCATGATGTTAATGTTTATAGCTGCTAGAATGTTATACTTACCTTAGCCCAGCAACATAAGTTCACTGTTAATATATTACTCAGAACTTTAAGATTACATATGGAAGCTTATTTTTGGATATTAGTAATTTTGACACTCTTGAAGTGGTTAAGAGTCTTCCTAAATGCAGAGATTGTCTCAATCTTTTAGTTTTTCATGGTTTGTTTGCTTGTTTTTTACCTACTACCTGTACAAGAAAATTCTAAAATCTAAAGTAACAGAAGCATTGAGAAGAAACAATGACAACAGTGTTCTTGCTAGTGAAAAAAAAAAAAAAATTTAAAAAAACATCATTTCCCTTGCAGTATCCTAAAACTTCACTTCTAGATAGTATTTCTTATTTATAAAAAAAAAAAAAAAGAAACCAAAACACAAAAAGCCACACAAATGTGTGCTTTACAACCATTTGATCTGTCTGAATCATGGTTCTCTCTCTAAAATGTGTGTAGCCTGCAGTGACTGTGTAGGTTCTTTACCTCCTTAATTTTCACTTGGCAAGTGGCCCAAGGCTCTGCTTTAAATTTCCCACTTGGTAGCACTAGTATGGAACCTGAAGAGTAATTAGTTGTAAGAAAGGGAATTTGAATTGTTTGCTGAGAAGGAAAAAAATGTGCATGCCTAATAAAGATTTTTCCTTGAGTACCTGCAACACCATTTATTTATTTTTGCTTAGAATGCACCACCCTTTAAATAGACCAGTGACTATTTTTTAAAAAAACTTTCCAGAAAAACTGATTGAAAGAAAACTGGTTTGTTTTTAGATCATGCTATTTCACTTTTACTCAGTCTTTTACATTACAGCAGTAGTTATCTTGACACAAATTTTGCTTTTTTTTTTTTTTTTAAAAACAGTTTCCTGATAATGGTCTTTTTTATTTTATTTCTCACACTGCTCTCCTATGGACACCTAAGTTGTAGTCTTCTAGGAAGGCAAATCATGGAAGATTTCGAAGTAAGCAGAATATTTTACCTAAATTACACATGTAAGTCTCTGAGAAGTTTATACTGTTCATGAAACTTTACATTATGATACTGTTTGTGAGATAGGCAGATCTCCATTGGTTCCAAAGACCTTGGAAACTCTTTCTGAAGAATTCATTACATATATATAGTTATGCAAAATGAGTAACAGAAACGAGGTTTTCTCTCCTCTGGAAATTAGCAGTTCCCCAGCCCTAAGAAAGTGAAAAGTGCTGCTCCTGATACTGCTTCTGCCTTCTGTGCAAAGACAGAAATGCAGAGCAGTTTGAGGGGGAGGGGATTTGATTTCTTTTTTAATGTCTGCCTCCTTCCAGCAAGTCCATCTGTTGTAACACTATAATTCTGGAAGCAGGATGTGTGTGTGACCAACAGGAGACAATTACTGCAAAAGTGTTTGTTGATTCAGCTCTATAAAGGGTAGGCCAATCACTACAGTATGAATAGAAAAGAATTCCAGCTGAGGAGCTGCATATAGATTAACACAAAATACATATATATAAATGAGAATGGGGAAAACCAGAAAGAAGTAGTAGTATGGGAAAGGATTAAGTAGGAATGAAGACTGAAGAAGAGAAGAAAGCTGGCATCTTTGGGACCATTAACCAAATAGTTTACTAGTCTCTATTTTCATAAATCTTGTTCTCTGCCTTTCCACATTGACAGAGAAAGATGTGATTAAACAGATATGGAGCCCCCTTTCGAAGAAAAAACCTGTTGCCTTGAGTAGTCCACTCTAGGGGCATATGGAGACTGCTGGTTTCTCCAAAAGTGCCTGTTCTTCATAGAGGAATGGGTGCTAGTTCATGTGGACTGACCAGATTCTCAGGGAATTTCTCAGACCACAGGTTAAAAGTGAAACTTCCCTCACCCATTTGAATGCAGGTATAATGTCAGCATGAAGACCACTTCTTTTTCAGGATTAATGAATTGGGTTGATACAATAGTAAATCAGGTCTCAATATCATATGTACATAATAACTGATTCAGAATCTCACATAAAACATGCTAATATGTAACATGTCATAATTTTATCATAACAAATAAAGAGACAAAAATCAATGTTATCAAAATTTCACAGAATTACAACAGAATTAAGCTGAACATTGTAAGACCCCATAATGAAAAGTACTTTACCTGTATGGTCAGTTTACTAGTTTGAAGTCTCTGATCAGCCAAATGTAGCTCAGTTGTTAATTTTTCATTGATTTCTTTAAATCCCTTCACAGAAGACACTGCTATCTTCTTTTCATTCTGTAAAACAGCTATCTGTTGCTGCAATGACTTAATTCTTTCCTGCAGTAGGCTAACAGAGTAACCCGGTTTCTGGACAACGATATTTCTCCTTTTTGTTCTGTTCACTAAACATAAAATGGCATGTTATTAAACTGACAGCTCATTATAAATGAGATTATTTCTAATTTTTCTTTGGCCCTTCAAAACACTGTTCTAGCCTCTAAAATATTTCTGAGTAAGGTAAATTAATTTAGTTAACTTATAAGTGCTCTGTGTTGTTGTTTTTCTGAAGTGCCAACATTGCAAACTCAACGAGGACTCAGAAGCTAAATGTGGATCAAGCTTCTGATTGGTAACACCAGAAATAAAGGCTTCAGTGTCTCGTTAACAGATTAACCAAAGTAACAGTCTAAGCCAAAATACCATTAATTTTGTTTCATTGGCTGTGTTGGCTAAAAGGGACAAACAAGAACAAAAGGTAGTGAAAAGGCTTATTTTAGTCGGCAGATTCAACAGGTCAGACTTAGTAAAAATAGAGTATATTTTAACTGTGCGAAAAGATGCTGTCTGACAGGTACTTTTTATACAACAATTTGATTTTAAAATAATGAGCTAAATCTTTGAAAATAAACTCATGCAAATTTAAACAAGCAAATCCTGCAACAGCATTTAAGTGGGTTTGTGTAGTATAGAAGAGGGTTTGGAATATCAGGCAGGAATGTTTTGTCAATCTTACTTACGAAGTTGTCAAAAATATATAATATTCCTACCTTTGTTTAGAATTGATGGATAAGATGTTATGAGACAGCAGATCTTCCTCCTCTTGGAATGTAACTTTTCTAGGTCTTTATTCAGTGAACGGTCCTAAATAAAAAACAGAAGCACAAAGCTAGCTTCGTTATGGCACACCAACCACAATACTCCAAAGTTTTCCAATTTGAATTGAAACAACAACAATCACTTCAAATAATACAGAAAATTCTAATTAATTTTAATTTGAAAATCAGTCTTACAACATTAGCCAGCAAAGAGTACAAATTTCTGTCTTTCCCATCAAATGCAGAAGAAATAGCCAACTGTTATAGGTAAACCATAACCCTTTCCAAAGAATCCCAGAGAAAAATGAAGCATCTGGTAATGCCTACATTAATTTTTTAGATATGATATGACCTTACTCATAGGGAAAAAAGATGGTGTGTATTACTTGAAAGCCTACAGTATCCTGTTTTTGAAGATATTTAAGTGGAAATAAAAAGGAATAGCGATTTTATTAGTTCAAAAGGAAGAAGATCAGATTAGACACTGAGCTGTAACTGGAAGATGCATGAATATATATGAACATGAAAATACTATTCCTGTGTTTGTACAGGGTTTAAGAAAAGTCAGCTGCATGCCTTTTAAATATCTGATTTGAAAAATCAGCTATTTCTAGAACCTATCAAATGTTCAATGACAGAAGCAGAGGATGAAAAAGAAAGCTGTTTGCAATATGTAAAATTAAAATGGCCAGAGCAAGGTTTACTCCACAAAGTACTATTTCCCTGGCTCTTAAATGATGATTCTATTTTGAAATATTTTTGTTGTGGAATTCTGCAGCATTTATCCAATTTTTAAAGTCTTCAGTTTGCAATTTGTATGTGATATCATCCAACATATTTCTGGAAATATTCATAACTAAAATAGCTGTTCATCAAATTCAAAAGAGTAAGCAGCAACGGATTATCTATTAGCTGCACTGAACAAATTAATGACATTGTACGACATCTTACCCCTGAATTCTAGATTTGTACCATTACCACACAATTTGAAGGACAGGGAAACAGGATATGCTAGAAAAAAAGAAATTAAGTGCCAACTTTTCAGACTAAAACCAAAGCAAAGGAAAACAAAGGTCAAGATCTTGTAGGTCTGTCTCCTTCAAGTAGTCTCTTAATTATTTTATTCCATGTCTCAAAGACAATAATAGAAACCAGTACTAAGCCCCATCAGTATGATCAGAGGATGCTAAAGTCACTGAAGACATGAAATTAGATGAACGATACTAGTCTGAAATGGTGATTTTATGTTACAGAGAACTGAGCTCTCAGCAGCTCATGAGCAAACAATCCATGTTTGCAGCAAAAAGATGGAGATCTCCACTCTAGGCCACAGCTCTGATATATGTATGAGTTGTAAGAGGGTGCCAGTAATGCTCCTGATACTGCACAGGGTATTACATATTTGTACCACACAGGGCAAAACTGAGAAAGTCCTTGTGTCATAAATGATCTCATCTTCAACTCCAGGTATAACTCAGGAGATTTCTCTAGCCTCTTTGTATAAGAATACCATGACCCTGCTGGAGTGTTCTTGAATCCTCAGGAAGGATTTAAGATTTCTGTTAAAATTGGTGTTCCCAATTGTCAATACTAAACATGTTCGCAATACTATCTTCTGTACTCACAAACCATGATTCCTGCGCAAGCTCCAAGTCCACCAGTCTGTTACACGCATGTATCAGAACATATCTGTGTTTGTCTTTTCCAGGAGGAACAGAAAGTAAATTCAATACAGGCAAACAGGAGATGTTCTGGTTCTGTCTATGCTACCATGCAAGAGAGGTCTGAGCCTCCTGGATTCCTTGCCTTGTATATCCTCAATTAGGAGCAGCAGGAGATAACAGGAGTAACACACTCGGTCAGATTTTCACATATATCATGTGCTCCTGCTCATACTATGTATTCTATACCAACAGGTGGTTGCAGAAGATTTTCCTTTTTTTCATTTTTTCTGTCAGAAAAATAGATCCTTTGAGGGAAACACACAATCAAGAATATATAATAAGACTAGATAGAGTTTGTACTTGCTTTAAAATTTTGGAGACCAAGAAAACACAATCTGTTTTCAAACTCTTTACTATATCACCACATGTAACAGAATTTCAAACTAGTTTTCTAACAGCAAGTTGTTCAGCATTTCAGTATTCTGTTTCCTGAACTAAGAAACAACAATATCTGCTTGTGTTTTAAATTCCATGAAGTGATTCATTTGGGCAAACACAGAAGGGAAAAAGTATTAGACACTGTTCAAAAGTAAAAAAATGTGTTATCTGTTACAGATTGTAGGGAGCCTCTAAAGACCTGGGAAACGACTGGCTGGCCCTTTTCTGTGAGAAAACAGCATATAGATGTTCGGAATGAGACAAGAAGTTCAAATCCCAGACAATGCATGTAAACGGGCTAAGAAGATGCTAAAAGTGCACTTTTCTCTAAACAGAATCTCCTAGACAGACACAGAGCCAAAAGCACCTTTCTAAGATGGAGATAACTCTTTCTGTGCACACCAAATGAACTGAGAGGTGTTCATGCTTGATTAGCCAGCAAACCATTTTGCCAGAGGGGAGGAGAGAAAGTTGCTGTTTCCTTGTTATGGGTTAGGTCACTGTGTTCTGTATTGCTTTTCTGACTGAGAGAGAGTTTAAGAGGATGTCTGTGGCATTCTTTGTTTGGAACGTGAGACAGCAGGACTAGCTTACAGCAGCTTTAATTTTGTTAATCAGCTTTTGCACTCTTGACACCCCCTCCAAATACTTTTGCAGACTAATCATTCAGAAAATATTTTAAATTATAATGAAACTACCCATTGAATATCTGGAAGCAGATTTTCTTTTCAGTTTACAACAAGTCAAATTAATTAAGAAGGGAACACCAGTGATAATACTAACTATTAAACTTCAATATTCTGCACAGGAGAACAAAACAAGTTCTATTATATACCTTTTTATTATACTGCTGGTTTTTGCCTCCTAAATGAACAATGTTGCAGGGCTTTTGACTATCTTGCATTTGCGTTTTTCCCTGTTGTTTACTTCTGTCTGGCAGTGGATCAATGTTTTGCACTGTCTTCATAATCACTGTTTCCAAACTTTCAGAAGTTGGTATTTCAGAGTCACTAAAACAGCACATTCAGGAAAATAAAGCAAAATAAAGCTAAACGTTAAAAGTTCAAAACAGCCAATTGAGCACATAGAAAATAACACATACAAGAAAGAAGAAAAACTAATATAAAATCCAGACAGTATTAAGTTGATTTATTCAACAGATGTTTACAAATACAATAAAGAAGAAATGTCTAATATTGTCTTATCAAGTTCTAATTTGTCAAATGGAATCTCACTCTACAATGCACGGAGGTCTGAGACTTCAACTGCTTCTTAAAGGATAGCTTTTGTTACACTCTACAGTAATTGACATACATGAAGAACTACTTGATAGTACTTCTAGTCTGTGAATGGCTCAGGAAGATATAATATGCTTCTACTTTCTTTCATTTTCACATTTGATAACAAACAAATGCAAAATACTTCAGTGAATAACATTTTGTTTCAATTGAACATTATTTGTAGCATTGACTGAGACAAACTCAGAAATCGCACTTCAGTGAAATCTCTGGCTAGCACCCCTTTGGAGAGCTTTTAAATTCTGTAAGCTTGGTAGTCCTTCTACTGAAATTGCCTGGCATGCAGAGAAATTGGACCTGAAACTTTCATTCTACTTAAAATTTTTCCTTAAAGTTGCACTCAATGTGCTCTTAATTTACAGTTTTTTCACTGCCTTGCTTATCATTTATTTTCTGATATCCAGTGAAGTCTAGCTTAAAACATGAAGTCTCGGATATATCATTTTCTATACCATCAGTGTCTATTCATCATCATTTGTGCAAACAGATTTGTGAAGGAATCCCTCAACAGAAGGTAATTTTGATTTGTCACTTTTTAAATCAAGACATTCAAAAAGGCACAACTGAGTTCAAATTAACTTGCACCATCATAAAAATCAATGGTTTAGAGATGGAGGCTACTTAACCAGAGAAAAGGCCACAAATTGAGGGGAATAGCTCGTACAGAAACATGTTTATACTTTCCAAAACCTGTCCTGACACATTGGTCTGTCTTACTGACTGGTACGAACAGAAATCAAAGTAATAGTTTGATTGTGCTGCAGTAGCACAGAGATATTTCTAACTACATATACATTTGCCTCACCTGAAGCATTCTTTGCTTTCAAGGAATGTTCTGTTTAGAAAATGGAAGGCTTGAATCTAGAAACTCAGAGACAGCTACTAGTGATAAAGAACAGTATTTATTAATAAGTAGAAGAGGGAACTAAATGAAGATATTTCCCTAACTTGTTGAGAATAACATCTTGAAACACCATCACCTTCAAAAATGTTTACTGTTCTATGACAAGAATTCCCTAACCCAATACTTGTACAATTACCAAAAACCGTATTTATGGCTAGCCATGACAACTGAAGCCATACAATTACTTTCTACTTCACTTCAAACTCAAATTGCAATGACAATTTGTTTGCTCAGTTTTGTTCTTAAAAAGCAAAACATAGTAAATTAAATAAAAATGCTCACTAATTGCAACAGAAAAACACATATGTTTTCTGTAAAATCAGATCTCTAATAATAAATTAAACGGAAAAACAAACAAGCTTTACATTAATGACAGCAACTGACAGATTACATGATTCTTAACTTGTTTTCTCTCTTAAGATACTGTGTTCAGGAGCACCGTATTTCGCATGGGGAGAAGCAGTGGAAGGGTTCCATTTGCCACTGTTGATTTGCTCTGTATGACATAGAAAGCCAACATGAAGCCTATGAAGACAATTCCGTTTTCTTTATCCATTTGTCACCTTCTCTATATTTTGGGTAAATACGGGCTTGAGAAATTTCTTTGCACGTCTCTTAGGAGAAAGTATTGAAAGACACAGTGTGATACCCATTTACCTAGTGGCTTACTGCTGCATCCTCAAGTATGTATGGACAAGATGCAGAAGCAAAAATTCTAAATGCTTATGAAGCTTGCCAGTGCAATTTTCTGAGGGCCTTGTGACTCATGACTGGGAGTCTATGCAGTAACAATTACCTTTAAAGAACTTATTTTTAACCATCATTCAATTAAAGTTAGTACAATGACTGTGCATAAAACATACATGAAATAATTAGTGTGGATGGTTCTTAATTTAAAGGATGTTAAACAGCTTGTAGACATCTGCTAGCAAGCTGAAATGGGTCATTCAAAATTTATCTAACTAAATTAAGGGGAAAAAATGTTTCTCCTCCCGGGTCGGCATGTCACAAGATAACTAAACCGACTTAGTAGGCTTGCCTGGGAATCCTTAGCTGTCAGTGGTGAATATGCAAAGGGCCAGCAAATTAAATCAACCTGCCAAACTGTCAATTTCAAGCCTCATGACTGCATGAAAATAGCATCACTGGAAGAAATCAAGCATTGCCTTCTTTTGGGTTTCCTGGCACCTATTCAAATACTCATGCAGTTGTGGCTAATTTTGCATGCAAATTTCAGTCAATAAGCTCAGAACAAGACCTCCCAAGATATTTCAAAGGATCTGACAGTATTTTTTTTGAATACCAAATCAACAGTAGTTGAAATTCAATCTCCATTTGCTAGTGCTTTACATATGCACAGTGTCCCCTCTACAGGGCTAAGTTAATGAGAGCCGTACCTGCTTTCACTCACATCCTCCCAGCCGTCCTTACTGAAGTTCTCAAATACATTACTCATAACCTTGATAGACTGTTTGAGAAAAGCTCCATGATGTCCCAAAGAGCTCTTTTTCTTGGCTGTTTTTAATTTAACCTTGGTGCCTGTTATCTTGCAATTACATTGCCCAGAGGTTGCCACTGCTTTGGCTTCATCCAGCAAACACTTCAGCCCCTGCAGTTGACTCAGCAAATCTTCATTCTCGTTTCTCAACCTGTTAGCTTCTGCCACTTGTCTCTTCAAAGAGGCAGCTTCCTTTTCCTGCTCATCAATCACTAACTGAAGTTCTGCTTTGTCTTTTTTTATTTCACAGATCCTCCTCAGTAGTGTTTCTAGCTCTCCTTCTCTTGCGTCTGCATCTTCCTTTTGCAGTTTTAAAGATGCTTTCAAATAATTTTTCTCCTTCAATAAATCTTTATTTACTTCTTTCTGTTTCTTTAATTCCCCTTCAATAGCTTTGACTCTTCTTTCTAGTTGTTGTACCTAACAAAAGCAATTGATAATTTCAGCCTGTCTAGTAGAAAAAACCCTATGTTTTCAGATATATTTATTGTATGACAATAATACTACATTAAGCACAAGGACAAAAGCAATCCATAGTCCTTAAATTAAAAATAATTCTAAGGTAGTGCAGATGAAAACATTTTAGTCGCAATAATACAGCTGTTTAACAAGGGGCAGATGGTAAAAGAAGTTAAAATTCCAGGCAAAGTGACACAGAAGTTTAAGTATGCTAATGAACCTTCCTGATGCATCTTGAGCTTATTACTGATTTGGTTATACATGCTAATTGAAATTAAAAAAAAAACATTTTCAGAAGGAAAAGTATTTTGAAATACAGACAATTTTGCACTAGCTATCTAAATCAACAAGTTTTTTCAAGTGTTGTAAATACACAAATTAAATATTAATTTGATCTTCCGAAAACCCCCAAACAAATCATAGCAAGAGATAGCAGAAATGTATATGCTATTAACAGAAAGGGAAAATCTATCCTATTCCAATGAAGTCACTTTACAAGCATCTCATACATAATTTGGAGAAACATATTCTACCTATATATGATGGATATGCTTCATTTGTAAAGCCCTTTGAGTTTTACACATATTCAAGGCCATTAACAATAAACTGATTCTCAATCTTCTGCTGGAATATTTGCTTAAAGTTACAACCAAACCCCACCATTTCCAGAAATAAGAGGCAATTTGCAGGTACTAAACTGAACATCTAGTCTGTGAAATTTCCCTAGAAGCTTCCAAAGGGCATCGGAGTGAGCTTTGCGCTCAGTAACCACTTAGTCATTTTGGAGAAATATTTTTGGTTGGTTTTGTACAAGCTCCATCCCCAGTCTTTCACTAGGGGAAGTGCCAGATGCTCGAGATTCTTCTGGACAGGGGTAGGAAAGACTGTTTTTCAAGGAGCTATAGTAGAATGCATATTGCCAACTTGAACTATTGATCTTGTAAAATACTGGCCGATTCCATCAGTTTGTAGCCATACGAAATGTCAAAACTTGGTTTGACACTGAAAATATTGAAACCACATTATTTCTCAATAAATGCTGTATGTTTTTTCAAGGACATTTTGCCACTGTATTTCAATTTTTTTAAAATTTATGGAATGATTTACAAAGTGGGTACTACAGATTTGATTCAGATAAATGCGAGGTCTTAATGTACAGTGTAAATTAGGGCAAGACCTGCTCAAATTTCATATATATTTATGAATTTGATATTGAATTTGTGAGTTTGATAGCAAACCTTTAATATGCATGCCTATCCATTACTACCTTCCTTTATGGAATCTCATAGCTCGCCTACAATGAAGAGAGACTGCCTTATGGTTACATAAAGTTATTGGGTGAAATTAGAAATAAAAGGGATTTTTCCAAACACTTCAAGGAATCCAAGGTTTATGATTAAAATAATGGTTTGTACTTTACTCCCCAATGATAAAGACTTAGACCAGTACCTTTCTTCAACCACCTTCCTAAACTGAGATTCTGTTATTATTTTCTCAGTTCTCTAAAGCAACCTTTTGCACTCACTAGCACTTAAAGTCATGTATGACAGCTGGAAGGAAACAAACAATGAATAGCTTCTACACCTATCCCTAAGGTACCATCATAACTCTGTATATCCATAGAGATAAAAATTATGTAGTACCTAGCAAACAAAATTATAGTTCTGAAATATAGATGATAAGCAAGCATAAACTGTGTGACATTTCAGATGGTAGCGTTCATATTATTTCAATTACTCACTCTACCTTAAGATAAATGAATGTGAGCACTTCCTATTCTGTGTGTTATTATTTTAACATGATGTTTGTCATTCAGTAATAACGAGATGACAGCCTTCATTGCCTGACCATATGGCAAGTGTTAGAAGTATATGCAATCACATCATCTGCTGTAAATTACCATACTTCCTACAAGTTAATTCACAAATAAAAAATAAATAGACATACCCGAACTGACATTCAAATTTATAGATTTGTGTTTATTCAATTTAAGCATGCTTTTAAAGATTTATAAGTAATTAAACAAATATTATTTTGCAAAATGACAAACAAAAGGCATGATACTGTTTGAAGGATGTCTTGTCTTTGCAGCAAACAAAACATATGGTAAAATACAAGTGAGCTCTCTTAAGTGAACACCTGTTAACATCTAAACTACTTGTGTATATTACAAATATCAATACAAATAGCAACTAGTTAAGAACATCTTGTTACTGTATGAGGTAAAATATGTAGAATGTTGAGCAGTAAAGATTAAATACTTATCATATTTGCTAAGCCAAAGAACACTAAATGCTTACAGTATGATCTTGTGAAAAGAGTGATAAACCCACATATGTAGAAAATATCTGCATATGCAGTGTTGTGCTAAAATTTAAATACAACAAAAGGTGGATTTATCACTGTTATGTATCAATTTTATTCTGTGGCAAGAGATCTATGGAGATTAACACCTAATACCATGTAAAGTTAAATACTCAGCAAAAGAAATGAAGGTTTCTGAACTTAAAAGTGGTAAAATGTTAAGCATACGTTACTTCAAATTTAGATAATTTGTTAGTTTTTAACATTATACCTCTAAACATTCTTCTCATTTTCTCTGACATTAACCATGTTTATCTCACATGATACATTCATAGCTACTTCACTAGAATTAATTTCTGACACAATTTTGGGAATTCATATTTTTGAATTAAGAAAGGAAAATCATGGCCTAAATTCATGAGTACTGACTTATATATATTATTCTTATATTAAAATTTAGATCTGTTTGCTGGGGTTGGTATCTTACCTTCTGTAACATCTGATGTGAAACTTCTTTCATATTCCTCTTTGGAGTACTGTTCTTGACTCCATCATCTTCACTAAGTTTAAGTGGCTCTATCAGAAAATAAGCAATACATCTATTATCAGGGAATAAATAAAATACATTGTGACATGTAGTATTTCACTAAAACAATACCTTGACATTTTAAGGAAATGCATCCTTTACTTCCACAATTATTTATAATGTGGTCTATTTTCTTGACAAGCCTTTTGGTCAGTTTCTAACGAGTGACCTCTTTTCAAAGTGTTCTCTCACATAATTATGAATCTTTGCACCATCACAGTATGTTTTTTTCAGAGTACAAGCTTTTCAAAGGTACAATAGGTCTGCAGGTTAAAGACGCCGTACTTTCATTCTGATTTTTATTCTTTTATGGACTATTCCCTCTATGCCTTAAAAGCAGAATTCATTGCCTTTTTATCTACACAGTCACTACCAGTTTTATTCTCTAGGTCTTGTCCCCTGCTAAGAGGATCAGAGTGACTGGTGAACAAAGCAAACAGTAACAGAATTAGGATGGATGAAAACTTTAAACTCCTTTTTTCGTTACGTGAAAGATCATGTACTTCCCTAGATAAATCACACAAATCATTCCATTGTAATACTGTGAATTAATACAATTAGAAATTGATACAACTAATGAGAGTGAATATGACTAAAAGCATCACTCTCAGAGACAGCTATGCACTTTAGGTACTAAAAATCCCACAAAAGACAGGTTAAACATTAGAACTATTTATAAAGAAGAATGCTAAGAAAAAGTTTAGAAGTACTAATATGCATGGTAAATCAGAAGTAAAATACATTCTGTTTAGATTTGAACCAAGAGCTTAGCATTCAAATTGCCCACTGCTCACAGAAACAAGCAACTGCACACCTCAGAAGGAGTTTTTCTTAGAATATGAAATATTACCTTAAAGAACAAAAAATCCCAACACTGTAAAAACACCACAATATTCACATTTCTTTTCTTGCCCTTCTTCCCCCAAAATTAACTTAAAGAATTAATCTTAAGGGATACATGTCTGTGCTACATGGTGGAGGTCTGCTTTAGAAGTATCATTTCAAACTACAAGCAGGCACTGCAGGTCACTTAAAAACTTTTGATTTATAAACAAAGCAAGTGTAGAAGAAAACAGTGTTACTCTCTGTAGATTCACAATCCTCTTGATATAAACAGTGACTAACAAGTTTGTTAGAGTGAATTAGACCTTTCTTTTGTCTTTGGAACATGTCATGGCCAATTAATACTTCTGTATTCATGAAATAAATGGAACACTATTCTAAAGATAATAAAAGCTGAAAAAGGTAAAACTATGCATCTGGGGAATATGTACCTTTACCTTGATATTAATATGTTAGTTCCCATGTTATTTCAGACTACAGTCCCCCAGCACAGTGGTACTGCATACATTTACAACATTCTTTAAGTAACACACAAAGATAATATGAACATGCTTTTCATCTTTTCCTAAATATTCACTCATTTGAATGTCTGCTGTAGCTTTTATATCAGCATTTACTGTACTCCACTGAAAAGACAAATGATTTCCCATAGTCAAAGAAACTGATCAAAGCACACATGGCGTTATGTTTATTATTTGGATGTATTAAAATACAATTTAAAACTCTATAAATAAACATATTATATGCAGAGAATAAAGACTACTACTGCAGAATAGATAGAAAAGACTATACATGTTCAGTATTACCGCAGAAGTCACAAGCAACATAAATTAAAGCCAAAGGTCACTGATGCATAACTCTTTCTATAGAGCTTAAAATAAATGGTCTATTCAGCCCCCTTCTCCCCTCCTCCTTTCTAACTGTTAGGCAACTGTTCACAGGAATTGGTTAGGGAGGCAATGAAACAGCATTGCCTGTAACTGTCTGTCTGTCTGTCTATGATAGCAGAAAGATTCATCATATCAGTCTACTCAGCAAGACGTATGCTCTACCCATCATATTCCTACATAAAAAAAATACCAAGTTCTCCCTCAAGGAATAGACCCACAAGTCATAAACCCCACTATCTTCAGTCATCAAAATACCATGGTCTTACAGAAGTATCCTTACATCCCACTGAGAAAATATAGTTAACTGCCAGCTTTAGAATGTAACTAATAATTCCTAATTAATAGTCACCAAATCTGATCAGTTAGTTCAATATCACTGCCAAAATGGTACTTGAACTTTGATACTACAGTTCACTGTTTGTATTTGCAGAAAGCCTTCTTACACAAAGAAAAATCTATCAGTTTAAAAAAAAAAACAAAAAAAAAAAAAAACCAAAAAAACCCCAAAAAACAGAGCTCTGTAATAGTCACTCACAGAGTACCTACATGAACCATCAAAAGAATTACATTTTTGCCTCTAGTATGCACCAGGTGAAGGATTCCCCTGACAGAGAGGAGGTGCTGTGATGCAGAAAGCCACTGTGCTACTGGCTCCAGCAGCAGCCGCCCACGCTCCCAAAGGTGTGCCAAGTCTGAAACAGCTGGTGGGAAAAAACACTGCGAAGACCACAAGAAGGGAATGCCATTCTCACACATGAGCTGGGGACATGGTAGATTCAGAAGGGTCTCATAATGAAAGATGCCTTCAAACTGCCTCCTTAAAGAATTAGCAGGTTAACAGTTTACCTTCTTTTAATAAGGCCCTTGCTATTTTTCTGATTTGATGGACCCTCTTTCCTGCTTTCGGAGGAAGTGGCCTAAGTACCTGCCAACACATTCTTTACATTCATACACAAATAATAACATGAATAGTATCAACAGTGAATTTGGATTTGATGACTACTGGAAAACTGGCAATGGCAAAAGAGACACCTTGGATAACTGAATCAGGATGGAAAGAAATTGGGAATGGCAGGAACAGAGTTCCCTTTTCCCCTGACCTCCTTTATCTTTGACTAGCAGGGTTTGAAAAATGTACTTCCAGCAGACAAACACAACTGATATCTAATCAAGTAAGAGGACAGAGCCTATCTTTTTTAAAACAGGGAAGCTCAGACAGTTTTTCAGAATTTATCCCTTGATGTTAGAATGCCTGATGGAAACAGATACTCACTAAACTGAAAGTGAATTCCAACATCATTGATATGCTGAGTAAATTCATGTCAGGTTTCCTTTTGGAAAAGAAAACATACTAAGCCTGTGAACAAAGTGTATTTAGACTGTATCAAGTTTGGACACTCAGCAAATGACAGATAACAGACCTGAGGTTGTACTTTTATTTGGGAAGATGAAGGCACATAATACCCATTTTAGGGCAGAAGCTGTATGCACTATCTTAGTGCATGAGCAAGGATTGCTCACATACATGCATTTATGCTCAAAGACGGACATGCAGCTTCAGTCCTTACGGTATAGTCTTCTAGAAGATGTCAACCAATTGATAAAAGTGTCCACCACACTGCAATACCCTCAGATTTGCAAGGGGAACAACAAGGAAATTACTTTTTATAGACAGGATGAGCAACTATTTTTTTGTACTTCGATTGGTGAAAGTTTGGAAATGGCTGGAATCAGCTCACTCTTACGTGCTAACAAAGTGTTGCTTAATATGTATCTTTGGACTTGATTTTGAATCTTATAAAAAAGAAATGATACCTGTAACAACAAATGCTGGAAAAGGTAGATAAAATTTGCTTAACACACTTTACTAGTAGTTTAATCTTTTTACTCAGTCTCAATGTAACAACAATTAATCATCGTACTAATAATGAAACTAGAAGTGTGTATCCACCCACCCACTTTTAAAAGAGGGTATGTTTTAATCTGAAAAGATAATGAAAAAAGGAATAAAAGACTAATTGTTAAAGTACTAAACATGTCAAGAACAGGCAGTTTCAGGGATCTGACTGTTTTTTAGAAATGCATGGTTATTGCTCAGCAGGCCCTCAACTCACTGGTTGCCTTTCCACTTCTCTCTGTGCAAAGACTGACTAAATTGGCAAAAACAAAGAAGTGATTTTTAAAGTCAGTATTTGAAACCTTCACTAGTGCCCCTCAGCTTTATCTGGGGCTATGAAAGTAACACATAAGAAGTAACATGAAAGAAAACAGTAATTTCAGTTTTCAGCAGCTAGGTATTTCCACTTAAGTTTCACAGATACAAAATAAATTTAAAATAAAGGAAAAA